AGAGAGAGAGAGAGAGAGAGAGAGAGAGAGAGAGAGAGAGAGAGAGAGAGAGACACGTTCTTACACTAAATTACTCTGAAAGCACCCAGGATCGATAAAGCGCCCAGCAGGGGAGAGAGCGAGGGCTGCGATCGCGTTATTGAATCTGCGTATGCGAAATGGTGGACTACCTTGCTAATCAAGTAACATAAGGTTCGGTGGTGCGGCAAATCATACATTATTATCCGCGACTCGATTTCGATCTCGGCTTTCGTGCAATCGCGCGAAATCTCACGTAGCACGCGCACGGCAGCATTACGCAACGTATTCTTTCGTTCTTTCTTTCCGCCTCCTCCACGTTGCGGAAAAATAGCGCAAAAATTCGACCGCAGCCGAAGATCCGTCGATGATAAGAAGCCGCTGTAGGCGGGGGAGGAGGGAGAGACAGCAGATCACTCATTAGATAACCTAGGAGGCGGTGAGAAACAGGTCGAACATGAAATTTAACAATCGCACGTACTGTTCCGTTGCACTCTTTTGCGCATCGAATAAATTATCGCAAATCTGCGCGCGGGAGCGGAGTTTCGCCGCAAGGAAATCGGGCCGATTCCAATCCGGGACTTGCGACATCGCGGCATATCCGCTCCATGTGCGGTGATAAAAAAGAAAAAGAAAAACTGCATTTCCGCCCGACGTTTCCCAACGACGCGGGAGATAACTGCAAAGTGGTGACCGTTTCTAATTATCTCGTCGGAAGCGATTAAAATCGTACACGGGACGATGTTAACGATCGCGTAGAGTCTATTCCTACGTAATGTTGGTCAATATGGGCGTTTCCGCGCGTAAAGCTTGAAAAAACTGCAATCGTATGACGTGAATGCTTGTGTCTTAGCGTGCAACCAGCCGGATAGTTTCACGGTCCAACTAACCGAAAACGAGAATGTTGTTGTCCACGATACCGAATTACTAATCAAGTACGACCCACACGCTGAGATATACCCACTCGGTGAAGTAGACGCAGTGAACGTGGTCTATAATGAATCTACCATCGAATTCAGAGGTAAGCATCAATCATTAAAGAATAAACTGACTGTTGAGTCGAGCGAAAATTCGGTTACACAAAATCCACTTGTCCGCTTTGTTTTCCGCAAAATATTCGCGGAACGTCCGCGTTTTGATTAACGATTATTAATCAGGTCACGATTATTAACGAGTCACGATTACCTATATCAACGAATAAAAAGGTTCTTTGCTTCATTACGGCGAAGACTTCCTATAGTTGATTGATAATGCACTCTCTAAATTTCTTGGAACGGACTCTCACTCAAAGCGAGTGAAAAGTAGTAGTATTTTCACTCGAGGCAACGATACTGCCCCACTCGAAATTATAGTATTGAATGTTTCTCAAACCTAGAATGGATTTTGACTCCATACGAACGAACGTTTCACTCAATTGGAGTGAGTATGTTCCTATATGAAATTGGAATACATTAAGTTTATTCTTCAATTTCGAGGGAAAATATTCACCTAACGATTCAAAGTAGAAAATTCACTCTATACGAGTGAAAAATCACTCCAATTCCGACTCGGTGATCACTCTGCTATTCGAGTGAAGTTTCACTGAAAGAAATGTAGAAAGCGACAGAAATCAATAACGTTGCATCCATGCGAAAATAAATTATCAACATAATGAAGTCGTTGATCAGTCGTCGCGTCAATTAATTCAATATCAATCTTCGGCGCGTCACATATTTCATTACTCTCTTTTATTTATCACGTGCTAGTCAGGGTCTCGGTGATTACGAGGGATTATATCTTTCAGGATACATATCGCCGGCGACTGTACCGTCGGGATCACCCGAGAGACTATCTTGGACCAGCAGCGGTATCATTTTAGGAACCGGCACGCTCCAAGTAAGTTTAATGCTCCGTAATCGCGTAAGTAACGACCAGAAGAAAATCGAGCGCGACTATTCGCTTTGTGAGATAATTGTAGCTCGCCCGTCCAATAATTATTATCCTCGGCTTTCTGTCGTTGCAGAAACTAAGCAGTGGAGATTATGCAGTCCGGGAGTGTCGCTTATTTTTGCCGAAGAACATCAAAAGCAGGTAAGAGAGAGGGGCGAAGGGCGACCAGGAAAACAGAGAGAGACCGTAGAGTTCCATTACGAAAACGGAAGATATTTCCCCGGGGGCGAGATTTGCAAAATTAGTCCGTCAGCGAGAAGCGTGTTGCGCAAAATAACGATAAAAAAAATGCAAAAATAAGAAACACGATCCTCGATTGAAATGTTAATTCGTTGCGGATATCCGCGCGCACAGTTGCCTCGCCACGAATTATCTGCACAATAATAGACGGCAAATGGCGGCGAAATTCGATAATACGATTCGCATCGTGAAACCGATACTTCTTTCCAGCGGTAATCTGCCGTTCGCCGTGGGAGACGAGATCGCTAACCACGCTCGCTACTGCATCGAGGAATACCTTTGCAGACAACTGGGACCTATAAAGACGGAAGAACCACTAGAAAATATCGATGTACATCGCAGATATGCACCCCCCGTCCCTGCATCTTACGATGTCGCTTCTGACCACTCCTCGCAGAATTGCACCGCTTCGGACGTTGTTGATGTAATCTAATTGCGCCCTTTATTCGCGAATTCTACTTCATTCTTAGTGACCCGCGAATTTTCGTTCGCAGCTGGATATAAACGAGGCCGTGAATCTCGCCATTAGAACCGCTATAAGTTATATCAAGCAGAACAATAAATCTAGCATTGTGATCCCCGATGTAGATGAGTCATACGAATTAGGACCGTTCGGTATGAAATGCTACTTTGAAGCATTCGGCGGTAACTTCGAGTAAGTGTCTATTATTTCTTTTAACGCGAAAATTTGTGTTTTGCACAACGATATCTTCCCTTGAGGAACTTGTGTTAACAAAATCGTCAACTTTTCAGTGATCTCTCGACTCTGAAGAGAACAGATGACGCGTATCTGTCCGGCTTAGGACGAACCCACGTTGTAAGATACGGCTTTGGGCTTGGCCTAGCTAGGTTTCACTACAATCATTACAAGGTACAATTCGGCGACACGATTGCGATTAAAATTTCAAATCTATATACATACAATAGAGATTATATCAAACACATCTCGCGATTAATTTAACATTAATACGTTTATCTTGATATATTTAGGTTAAATATGGCCTCGTGAGCTTAAGTGGCATGATAACGGGTACGATTGATGGGTTGGCGATATTGGCAAGGCTACACGTCGACTACGATAAAGACTGTCCTGTGACACTGGAATCCCTGAAAGTGACAGAGTTCGGCAACATTAAGTTACGTATGACTGGTATGGGGCCGATGAACAGTGTAACATCGAAAATATTGACTTGGCTGACGAATTGGTGGCGAAATAATATCGTGAGCCTTATTGAAGTTAACGTGAAACAAGTTATCCAGAAACAATTAAGCACATATGTCTGCATTAATTATATTACATCTATATTTTCTTGAAACTGTATTCCCAAAGGGATGTGAAAGTCATAAAATAAAAGAAACTTTTTAAGAAACACGATTGAACATGATGAGTAATGAGCGTGTTCTGGAAAAAATGGATTCAAATTAAAAAATCATGAATATTACAATAGATATTCTGATGAATCCTTTCTAGAAAGAAAAATCTCTGTGAATGAATTCGATGTAAATATTTATATATATTTTTTTCTATTTCGGTGATAATTATCAATATATGAACGCTCTTTGTATATTAGCAACGATTTTTATTCTACGCGAGAAGAAAAAAATCTGTATTAATAAAATAAATATTTTTTTTTATTATATATATATATATATATATATATATAGTATAAAAAACAATTTATACTTATACATACACACAAATACACAGTGTTTCAAGAAAATGTACTTTATTAATAACTTTATTAATGTTCGAGAAAAATGAGTTATATTTAGATTAAACCGGTTCATTATTGTTTGTTGTATCGAGAACTTCTTCCGTCGTTTCGACAGCAACAGTTTCAATGGGTAAGGAGGAGGAAGAACAATTAGTTTCGACTGTCTGCACTATCGTCTGTACTACAGCAACATCTGTGCTATCTGGGCATTCTAGATCTGAAGGAATACTTTCATCCTGCACCGAGTTCTCTTTCGCACTGACATCATTATCGGAATTAACAGCTGCAGGATTCTGTATAGCAGTATTATCACTATTCTGTGTAGCAGTATTATCACTATTCTGTGTAGCAGTATTATCACTATTCTGTGTAGCAGTATTATCACTATTCTGTGTAGCAGTATTATCACTATTCTGTGTAGCAGTATTATCACTATTCTGTGTAGCAGTATTATCACTATTCTGTGTAGCAGTATTATCACTATTCTGTGTAGCAGTATTATCACTATTCTGTGTAGCAGTATTATCACTATTCTGTGTAGCAGTATTATCACTATTCTGTGTAGCAGTATTATCACTATTCTGTGTAGCAGTATTATCACTATTCTGTGTAGCAGTATTATCACTATTCTGTGTAGCAGTATTATCACTATTCTGTGTAGCAGTATTATCACTATTCTGTGTAGCAGTATTATCACTATTCTGTGTAGCAGTATTATCACTATTCTGTGTAGCAGTATTATCACTATTCTGTGTAGCAGTATTATCACTATTCTGTGTAGCAGTATTATCACTATTCTGTGTAGCAGTATTATCACTATTCTGTGTAGCAGTATTATCACTATTCTGTGTAGCAGTATTATCACTATTCTGTGTAGCAGTATTATCACTATTCTGTGTAGCAGTATTATCACTATTCTGTGTAGCAGTATTATCACTATTCTGTGTAGCAGTATTATCACTATTCTGTGTAGCAGTATTATCACTATTCTGTGTAGCAGTATTATCACTATTCTGTGTAGCAGTATTATCACTATTCTGTGTAGCAGTATTGTCACTATTCTGTGTAGCAGTATTATCACTATCACTGTTACTGGTGCCAATATTTGCATTCGTCGCACGTTTCAATGCCAAGTATTCCTCCACCGAGCCTGTTGGAGCTTTTTCGGATATAACAGTTACCTGATTCGCTGACGTCTGGGAAGATGAATTAGTGTTTGGCGATTTGTTCAGTTTGGATAGCCTCTGACGTTCTCTCAAACGTTTCCGGATCTCGGACTGAATCTTCGACTCTTTGATCACACTCTGAACATCGTCAGTTTGATAATAACGCGACGCCCATGTTTCGGATGATTCTGAGGTTTGCACGTTCGGTGCAGCTTGAAGTACGGATTGCTTATCTCGTTGGGGTGAAACGATATCATTTTGACTTTTATCGTCATCACAGTTGTCCATGTCCATAACGTCGCAATAATCGTCCAAATCAATTATCTCGTCTGAGTCTGCCGATCTTTCTTTCTCAACTTTACTTTCTTCCGCGGTTTTCTCCTTCGCGCTATTGTCCTCTTCGATGGTAACTTTGCTTTCATTAGAAATCGGACTTGTCCTCAACTGTTCGTTAATATTCTCATCTCTTATATCAATCGGTTGTTCTGTAGCTGGGACATTTTTCATTCGTTTGGATTGAGAAGAGTTTTGAATGATGTTACAGGTGGAAGAAGCAAGTTGCGACTTCGCGCGTAACTTTCTCTTGGATTTTTTTCGTTTGTCCGCGACGTTATCCGCAGAAATAGATATCGACAAAATATTGTTCTTTATATCTACATTTCTCTCTGATATTTTGGTTTTTGTTTCGCTTCTAGTGTTTAAATCGGCTCTAGCCACAGTACTTGTATTATTGTGTGATGCTATCGTTTCTTGAGTTTCCTTATCTTTCGAGTTTTGTACATGTTGTGAATTTTTCGGGTCTTCGTTCAAATTGCCTGCGGATTCCTCAGTTTCTGCTACACGTTTACTTTTCAACTTCTGATTTACACGCGTATCTTTATGGCCTCCCTCGTCACTCTCGCTAGATAACAACTCGACAACTGGGGTAGGCTGTACTACTAAGACCACGTCTTCATCTTCACCGATATTACCTTGCTTAGCGTTAATAATTCTTTCTAGTTGTTTGCGACAGTCCTCTTTCGCCATTGCATCATCTTGCAATGCCTTGGTATCATTATCTGTCGTTTGACTGTTATTCGTTTGCGACGAATTGGCAGATGGAATTATATCTTCCTCTTTTCGTATCAAAGCTCTTATTGCACGTGCGCGCATCTCCAACTCCAATAAATCCAATAAACTATCTCCTTCCTTTTCTTTATCTTTGCCATCTTCCTTCTTTATTTTAATGTCTTTAGTTTTATCATCATTATCATTCTTACTAACTAATTTCCCTTTGGCGTTAGACTTATCTATATCGCTTGTCTTACCGACTTGCGCTTTACTTTTAACTTTTATTTTATTTCTTTTTAGCTTTTTCTTTCCATCCTCTTCCTTTTTGCATGTATCATCATCTGTGAGCCATTCTTCTGTATCAGAAATTATTTCTAAAGAAGGTCCTGTTACGGGAGAAATTATAGATAGCATTATCACGTAATATATATAATATATTATATTCGTATAGGACCTGTATATGTTCACATACCTGAGTCTTCAGATTCACTTGTGTCTGAAGATTCCAACATAGGTTTGTCATTCAATATAGATATTATTCGAGTTTTGGACATACCACTTAATTCACTCACACACCATTGTTCCAATTCATTTAAATCTACTTGCTACAAACAAATAATGACTTCCTATACTCGATAATATACTATTTTTGAAGATGAAAACCATTATGTACTTAAATATTTTACTATTTACATTATTTTACTATTAATTATTATACTATTTATCATACAATTAATTATACTATTTTACTATTTACTATTTATATTTATTAAAATTTACTTTCAAAACCTGAGGCAACATCATGCGTATCTTGTCTGATTTAACAGACTTAAAAAGTTGACGTGCCAATTCTTTACGATTAGACAAATATTCTTTGATTGGTTTTAAATCTCTTGCATCCACTTCTTCATCTGACGATGAAGACGTGCAAGAAGAGAAACTACTGTGTTCCTGAAAACAAGGTTACTTTCAAGTTATTTTACTGTGAGTAAAAACATTACCTTAAAATGTTTGAAATTTGAAATATCGTGTTTAACAAATATTATTACTATTTCATTCAGCTTACCTCACTCTTACGTACATCTTTCTTAGTCTTAGACATGCTGATATCTAATACAATCACGATTTAATACAAGAAATATTCCTCTTTATATCGGTTCATATACTGTTGTAATAAATGAAGTAAGACTGAAGTAACAACCTTTTCCTCACATATATATTTCTTTTACCTGAAAGTATATGAAGATTGACAGATGAAGACTGACAGATTGTCACCTCTTATAACTTTGAAATCTGAAATAAAAGAAATACATATTCATGCAGTAAAAGAGAAGAAAAAATCGAATCATGCAAGAACATGTCAAAGTTGTAGTTAAGGAAACTTAACATAATAAAATAAATTCATAATAATATAACCTACAACTTATTTACCTCAGTACTGTCTTGTACTAAAGCATTAAAATACATCGAGTTGCTCCGACAGTTTTTGCTCATAACTTGAGAAGACAGTTTTCTTCTGACTTGATACAACGTAAGTAATTATTTATGTCACGCGAAACTTATACAGTACATTGCAAAATATCTCGTACACTAACCCCAACAATCTAACCTAACACAGAATTATGCACTGCCTCAATTGTTCGTTCTCTCTTTCTCTCTCTCTAAATGGTTGTAGGCTTACGGCTTTGGCCCTTTCACTGTTAGAAAATATTTAACAGAGGTATATGATATAAGGGTGATCCTCGGAAAATGCCGAGACACATTCCAAAAAAATTCACGATCCGAACGTATTCAACTACGTTACCGACGAGGTACTATAAACAGAAGGTCTGTTCTTTCTAACTGCACTGCTGAACTGATGCAATATATTGAAGTGAGAAAAATATGCTTCTCTCTACCTCTTGACGGCCTAACGGCGGTTAAGTCGAAACTCAATTGTTCGTTAACGAACAAGTGGCGGCTCGTAGCGAAGACTCTGGAACTACAAATATTTTTTCTCTGATATCTGTCAACAGATGTCACTAGATGGACAAGTCGATGCTCGTGTCATATTATAACCTTTATTGTTGACAATTGTTTGTCAACAAGATGACATATTAACCGAATGAAATTGTCGAATATTTAATTACAGTAAGTACAATCGTATTAAAACAAATATGTACCACACGATAAGAATATATATTGTCTTGTATGATTAATCTGAGAACTTGTCTTTGGCACAGGCATTTGATGACAGGTAACCAAGTCCAACAGTAAAAAGGATCCAATCATTTCTGAGACTTACACATATCTTTACGTTATGTGCGAATAAATAAATGTTTATGAGACTTTGATACTCTAGGCTAACTCTATTGAGTAATTATAATGTGTGATACTGTCTGCTAAACCTAATGTCAATTTGAATTCTGCGTAACCTTGCCTAAGATTAAGAGAGAAAAATGTTGAATCGCTTCAAGTCAGTATTAATGAGTGCTGTAGGTGCAAGCGAGCTTGGCCTACAGTACCCCAATGATTCAGATAATGATATGATGACGGATTATATTAATTCTAATTATGTTGTGGAAGTGGAAAATAAACCTTATAGTCGCCCAAGTTTTCTGGGTTTGACAGCTGAGGAAACACAGGTATGCCTAAATTCAGGTCACATAAATTCTATTGAATTGATTTATAATATTTCCAGTAATGATGATATATAAGGATAATATAATCACATCTAAAAGTATATAGTAAGTAAATATAAATTATATTTACAGGTGAGTGCAGATCACAGAGTGAGACCTATCATAGTTCCAAGAGATCTGAGCCGTTTACCATGGTGTGCTGGTTATGCAGAATGTATAAATGCTGGAAAAAGTACCTGGAATGAGGATCAAGCTTCTGCTACTCGTGGAGATCTAAAATTGTCAGATGCTAATGTTACACTGCCTTACGTCATATTTTCAATGTTTGATGGACATGCAGGATATCAAGTTGCTCTTACAGCAAGGTTACATCTACATAGAATAATTCTTGTATGTATCATCATATATATAGAGAGAGGAAAAAAATTATTATCTAACTTAAAAGAATAAATTATACAAATACATAGGAGAGGTTACTGGCTATACCGGGTAATATGCTACTAAATGAAGATGAGGACGAGTTAATAAAGGGCAGAGACCTAGTTACAGGTGCTATAGAATTAGCGTATAGACAAATGGATCAGATGGTGGAGATGCAGGCGCAAAGTGGTGGTGGTGGTTGCACGGCTATTACAATTTTATTTCTTAATGGAAGGCTGTATGCTGCAGGAGCTGGTGATTCAAGGTTATATCATAATTTATGTGTAATATTGTTATTTCAATATATACAAATTCAAATAATAAATTAGATACATTAGGTAATTTATATAATAGTCTTTAAATAATTACAGAGCTGTGCTAGTTTTGGGGGATGATCAACGTGCTCTTACCAGAGATCATACTCCGGATTCCGAGTCAAATCGTGTTAGAGCTTTAGGCTTTTTAAGAAGCAACGAATTGCTCAAGGGTCATTTTACTCCGCTGGAGTTTAGAAAGAGACCATTGCAGAAAGAGTTGGGATCTATGGTCTTGTATAGAGAACCATATATGACAGGTTGGGCATACAAGACCTTAACGTATCCTGATTTAAAATTACCGCTCATTTCTGGACATGGAAAAAGGGTAAACTGATTCTAATTGTTTTCAACTAAAATGGGTTTAAATTGCTCCAAAATTCAAATTCACTAAAAACGCTCTAACACTCTTTAAACAAAATTAATTCCTTTACGACTAAGAAATTTCTTTTGACATATAGAGCAGAGTAATGGGCACGATAGGCGTGACTAGGGGTTTCGGAGATCATGGTTTGAAAGCGGCGAACACCGGTGTCAATATTAAACCGTTTCTATCGTCACAACCGGAGGTGCAATCTCTAGACTTGGATAGTTGTAATCTCACCGAAAGAGATTGTATTATTGTTGCTACGGATGGTCTTTGGGATGTGGTATCCGACAAAGCAGCGGCAGTTATCCTTAGAAAGACACTTGCACCTGATACTCCATCATTAGAATATAGGTACGCACAACCGCGAGAAGCAAATATATTATGTAAGAAGTAAACTTCATCTGGCACAATATACGTTCATTTTTTGATATGCAGACTCACAATGGGTGCTCAAGAGTTAGTCCAAGCCGCGAGAGGTCGATTAATCGGTCGGGTATGGATGGGAAAGCCCGAAAACCCTAATGAAACAGACGAAAAATTCTCACCGATAGCATCGGTGGACGACATAAGCGTGTTAGTAGTACCTTTATATCCCTATTTATGCGAACACAAGCAGTGGTTGAAAACCACGCAGCAAGAACGAAGATATGCTACCGAAACTCTACACATATCAACTAATAATCCTGCGTAATAAAGCGTCACGAAGATCTGGCCGTATAGTCTATCATGAAATAGGAACACAATTTTACTACTCAATATGCAGCTATTAATGAATTAAACATTTACCCACATCACCGCAATAGTTTAATCAGCGTGACTTATTATTTAGTTTTAGAACAATTTGCTACGTTTAAATTCAACTATCATCCTATATATATAGTCCTATATCATATATATATATATATATATATATATATATATATATATATATATATATATATATGATATATGATATATGATATATATATGATATATATATATATGATATATATATATATATATATATATATATATATATATGATCATATATATATATAGTCCTATATATATAGTCCTATATCATAGTTTTTTGTCTTCGAAATGATAAATTATTGCATACTGCCATCGTATCAATATGTGTTAATCATATTGAAAGAGATTGAGAGAATCATACCGAAGGCTATGCTATCATTTATTTAAATAGACATTCCGCTATTTCACGTAACATAAAATATTTACGATATTCCAAAAACGTTTGATAATATAAGCACCAATTATTGGATTGTTACTATAATTAGGATGTATAGATCATACACAATATATAATATTAAAAGATACGACTATTTTTGTATTGTTTTTAAAGTTCAACGATATGTTACCATCCAACATATTCTGAATGTGTTACGGCATTTTGTCATGTTTCTGTTAGAATTTTATTACAAGATATTGTACGTGTGATGTCAATAATATATAAATGCGTAGTAAGAAATTGTACATAAATATAAAAAGCACCGCTGTTTTTTTAAACATGATAATAAGTAAGTTTTACGCGTATTATATAGCATAATTAGCCCGAGTAACTTGTAGGAGGAGTCACTATCTCGTATAAATACTGTAAACACAAATACTTCTCAGTATCATTCTCTCCCTTTCTCTCTTTTTATTTTCTCGACCTTAACATATAATTTATATCGATTTTCACAAGAAACTTTTTTAAACCTTCAAAGGAATGTTTCTTCTCTATTAATTTCTACGGATACTCAAAGATTGAAATATCTGACGTTTTATTTTCACACAGTATAGCTTTTGTTCATTATTTTCAGTATTTATTTTAAAATAGACAAAAATATCGCGTTTTATCCGCGCATCACTTCGAGATACTTTACTACTGTACACACAAGATGACGCCACAAGTATTAAATTTGTATTTACTGGCAAATCACGCTACACGTGATAATAACAAAGTGTGAATTTATCAACGAGGAAAGTTACTACGCGACGTAAACAAATAAACAGAAAAGTATATTATTATGCATTAAGTCTATTTCGTTAAAAGTGAATATATTTTAAACAGTTAGGATTTCTTAACCGTCAATCTAATCATCGAAGTATCTTTAATCTTGAATTAAAAATGACTATATCGTAAAGCGAAAATTCAGCGAATTATCAATTTCTTGCGTTGACATTTAATTGGCGGACTCATAGGACACATCTGTAGTAAATGCCTCTTTAATCATGAGAAAACAATACTAAGTAATATGTAGCATCAAGAGATAATAGATTATGTATAGTATTATACATCGAGAGATTCTGCATTAGTTCAAGTTCGATGGAATTTGCAAAGTTAATGCAGAAGCGAAATTTCGAGCCGGTTACTTGCGAAACATTTAGAGCGCCCCGCGAACATGTGCTTACCACGCTCGTTGACCGAGCTTCATAATAGACAAATACTGCAATTCCCAAACGACCAACTTGCGCGAAACTTTTGCTAAATCTCCAGAAAGTTTGCACGAATGCATCGAATGCGACAATCTTAAAACGCGAAAAGTGGGCGAAATCGCAACCAACCGTGGTAACGATTGGTTGTTGCATGTTTGGAATCGATCGAAAATCGTAATGCAAGTTAACAATTTGAAATTCTGTGCCGACAAACATCATACGTCCTCGCGCCCTACATACGTTCCTTTTAAAACTTTGCAATTGTGACAATTTGTGATTATTTTACATATTCAATCGTGTTATATTTTGTATCTCTGAATTCTGACTCACCGGAAATCTTGTGCTGATCTCCGATATCGTGGAAGCGAACGGTCCACAAATTTTCGAAGATTTTCTGCAAAAAGAAAATATGATATTGTTATTATATTTTTTCGTTTATTGGTATATTGTTGGAGCAAGCTCGCGTGCAAAATCTGAGGGTCGAGCAGACACAGATGGGTTGAGTTGCTCTTTTGTACGATGTTAAATTGCGAACTTTCAGGATGTGCGTGCTGGCACGCACGTGGACGCATTTTGTACGTTTACAGGAGACCAAGTGCATTCTCTCGTCGCACGACCGGCGCATATAGCCCGAAACAGTTAACTCTCATAAATTTAATTACCAGACGCAACCGAAATGGGAGGCCGGTCTCTCTTTTCGTTGGGTAAAATCGTAAATTAGTCTCGGCGGTGATTTTCTCGGAAATCACGTGATTTATCGGCGAATTTCGCCAACTGTAAAATACTGACGCAGTAATATCGAGTCGTATGTCGGTCTTATAGATTAGTAAAATTAGTCGGAGCTATTATGATTTCATCGTAATAATAAACTTATTCCCGTAAAATATAACTTGAGATATTTTATTACGAATAAAAGATCTTTCACGCTTTCAGTTACACAGAATTAAAAATTATTCTCTAGCAACGAACAGAGCTCTGAAGCTTCTCGAAATCCCCGATTTTGCGCTTTAATTAGAATAATAAGCAGAAGAGTACTGTTGGGGTACATCGCGCTTCATTAACGCGAAAGAGCGAGTGAAATATGAGCGCAATACCTGGTGGCACGATGTTTTGTTCCATTACGGATTAAACGGTCGGGAAGTTGAAAGACGTTACGCAGCAAATTCCTGTTGGCCGACGGCGATGAAGTCGGAGATGAATTGTAATGCGCCATGCATTTCCGCCAACTAAGAGCGACAGCGTAAAAGGGCGCGGAGATAGAGTGTCGCAAATCACCGTACGAAAGTGCTCTTCTACGAAAGTAGACGAGTGTAGTGAAAACTAAACCTAGCTTGACAGCTCCCCTTCCTCTTCATTGATCCACCATCGTACAATTTTCTAAAAAATAGTCGCGCCGTGCACTGAGCTGATGGTTATTGGATCTCAACCTTCCTATATAACACACCGGCGTTTTGGGAGCCGTCAGAGTTCAGAGATCGGTGACAACCATACATTATTCATAAACGTTTCCGTTAACCTTCAATATTCATAGTGAGCTTTGGTTTTCATAATCATAATTATCTTAATTATTATCATGAAAATGAAGAGAGAGAGAGGGAGAGAAGTGTATAAAAGAGAACTTAGGATGTCTATTCAAATGTCTATTTTAGAGATATCTGCATTAAGAGAAAAAATATCTAAAAAATAGAAAATATCTATTCGATGGGTACTAATAACATGTTTACTTAAATCTAAATTCTTTTATTTAAATAGAATAAACAATTATTTTTAGGAGAAGCTAAGGTTTTGGAAATGTATATTTTCCTATATGAAAAATATTCTATATCAGTATAAGTAAATGTGATTTTTATGTCAGTATAATTTTTATATCAGTATAAATAATGTGTGTAATTAGTGTACCTACTAATTAAATATTTTCTAGCTTTTAGATATTTTTTCTTTCAGTCTATATTACATATTTCAGATGTCTGTTGATTATTTAAAGAAATTTAGTTTATCGCTCGTCGGCTCGATAGTCGGCTCTTATTGGTTGTTTGATTCCTTACTTATTTATTATATTAGAGCCGTGCAATTATTTATTATTAATATGGAAAACTTGGTGGACCTGCATAATCTCGAAAAATCAGAATTACGAAATTTGAGAAACGGTTAAATTATTGATAACTTTCCGAGACAATGACGTGCCTTCAATATTTCAGGAAAATTGTATTATATATTGTCCCGGTTTTCGAAATGGTGATTTTTCAGGATATTATTTCACTGTTAGAACTTTGGTACATCTTTTTTGTCGAAATTATGCATGTGTTCACCGAGAATTTCTCAGACTGACACTCCGTAATAGGGTTTCTTCAATAAGAGTCACCCCGGTTATCTACTTGAGAATACGACGTGTTGGAAATATGTTAGTTCTCCTCCACGTCGATCGACGGATCTATCACGCTCCGATAGCTTTATCATAAAGACCACGTGCGCTATCTTTTAGAAGCGTAATGTACGCCACAGCTTTCCGTCGAAAAATGGGATGCACCACTTTTTGAACGGCCGTCCGATCACCGATATGTTTTTCATGGCGGCGGGTTATGACGGGCGATCTGTCACGGTCACCGCGACGGTAACTCTAAGGGGTTGCAAAGGGCTTAATGCCCCTCCTGGTGGGGATAACGCAAGAAAGAGTGTGCGTGTGGAGGACGGGGAAGGAGCACGTTACACTATATCAAAATGGCCACAACTTAGGGGTCCTATGCTACCTCCGATATATCATGGTTAGAGAACTTTGGACGGCTTCCTGGGTCCCACCATTGATGGCTTCCTCCGATACGGCATGATGTATCTGTTCCTCATTGGCGCACAGCTCGTGGAAATGAGGATCGGATGCAATTTGAAAGTAAAAGTACCCGCTCGAGGAGTAACAAAGCGTTCCTCAACTATTTACCTATCCGTCTTCTGACTCTCATCGGCAGGGATTAATCTTGGATTAAAAGAACACAACTGAGGTGCTTTTTATCGCAATTATAACATCTCCCTCTCTGCCTCTCTCTCTTTCTCACTCTCTTAAAAAGTAGCTCATCGAGGAATAATTTATCGGATGCACATATGTGCGCCGCGATGACCGAATGCGATTAATATCGCAATAAAAAGGTACACGATGTCCGACCGATACCGCGTCCGCGCGTGAAACGCATCGTTTCCTCGCGAAATTAACATCGTGAACCGTACGAGCGCGAATTTCCCATTGTTGATTTGCCGGCTGTCGCGTGCTTCTTGTCAGTTCTCTTCAACCTAATGTCCGTCAGCTAGAAGCTGACGCCCGGTTGCCGAAGGTAATGCAACGGATAATGCGGCAAGTTTGCTACCGGGGGGATTACGTGACCAGCTCTCAGTTTCGGCTTCCGAGCCTAGGGTACCATCTGTATTGCGGCGAAATGACGCACCATACTTCTCAGATATTCAGACAACGAGACCAAGTTCCCACCCATTGCTTATGCGCAGCCAGGTAATTTCAATTTGGCATTC